ATTTGATTAAAAATACCCTAAATTGTTTTATTATCATATGTGATTTTATGAGAATTTTATGAAAGTTTTTTTTTCAGTTTTGGCTTACCAATGCTCGCAAAATGAAATCAAAGACACGTTTTATGATATAGCATTTAAAATGAAAGCTCATTTACGATTTTATGTAAAAACAGAAAGTGTATATATAAATGGTATACTTCATATATGGCTAAAGGTTGAAAATATACTAAAAAAATGTCTCAAATTCACAGCGGTGAAACACTCACGTCCAGAAGATATAACCCTTCAGTAATAAACACATGATATATTATTCAATTCCGCCCGACTGCATTATTTGCAGAAAAGAAGTACATCCAGAGAAAATCGAAGAATGCTGTTGACATTTAATTTACAATACAGGTAGTATCAAATTGTACTCAGATATGACTAATAGATTAAGACTTCTTCGTTTTATAACAGAGTCTTTGTACATAAATATAGGATATAATTCTCACCTAGTTTTCATTTCCGTTCACAGATACCATAAACTCAACGTAAGACATAGGTATTGTCTTTAGAGTTTCTTAATAATTGTACAATCGGTGGAATAGTGACCGTGTGTTACATAGTAGATTTATGTACAATCGGTGGAATAGTGACCGTGTGTTACATAGTAGATTTATGTACAATCGGTGGAATAGTGACCGTGTGTTACATAGTAGATTTATGTACAATCGGTGGAATAGTGACCGTGTGTTACATAGTAGATTTATGTACAATCGGTGGAATAGTGACCGTGTGTTACATAGTAGATTTATGTACAATCGGTGGAATAGTGACCGTGTGTTACATAGTAGATTTATGTACAATCGGTGGAATAGTGACCGTGTGTTACATAGTAGATTTATGTACAATCGGTGGAATAGTGACCGTGTGTTACATAGTAGATTTATGTACAATCGGTGGAACAGTGACCGTGTGTAACATAGTAGATTTATGTACAATCGGTGGAACAGTGACCGTGTGTTACATAGTAGATTTATGTACAATCGGTAGAACAGTGACCGTGTGTAACATAGTAGATTTATGTACAATCGGTGGAACAGTGACCGTGTGTAACATAGTAGATTTATGTACAATCGGTGGAACAGTGACCGTGTGTAACATAGTAGATTTATGTACCATCGGTGGAACAGTGACCGTGTGTTACATAGTAGATTTATGTACAATCGGTGGAACAGTGACCGTGTGTTACATAGTAGATTTATGTACAATCGGTGGAATAGTGACCGTGTGTTACATAGTAGATTTATGTACAATCGGTGGAATAGTGACCGTGTGTTACATAGTAGATTTATGTACAATCGGTGGAATAGTGACCGTTTATTACATAGTAGATTTATGTACAATCGGTGGAATAGTGACCGTGTGTAACATAGTAGATTTATGTACAATCGGTGGAATATTGACCGTGTGTAACATAGTAGATTTATGTACAATCGGTGGAATATTGACCGTGTGTTACATAGTAGATTTATGTACAATCGGTGGAATAGTGACCGTGTGTTACATAGTAGATTTATGTACAATCGGTGGAATAGTGACCGTGTGTAACATAGTAGATTTATGTACAATCGGTGGAATAGTGACCGTGTGTTACATAGTAGATTTATGTACAATCGGTGGAATAGTGACCGTGTGTTACATAGTAGATTTATGTACAATCGGTGGAATAGTGACCGTGTGTAACATAGTAGATTTATGTACAATCGGTGGAATAGTGACCGTGTGTTACATAGTAGATTTATGTACAATCTGTGGAATAGTGACCGTGTGTAACATAGTAGATTTCCATCTGTGAAGTCATCCATCGAATGTAAAAATGAGGAACGAAGTTAATTGTGTTATGTATCATTGCCCCCATACAGTCAGTGTAACTATCATGTGTATGACACGAGATTTATACTTTGTATGTATGTAGATCATGCATCTGACCCTTCCTCGTGCAAACGAAACAGGTGATGCACTGCCCACATACCTAAGCTCACAACTTGTCAATGTCTATCACTTCCCGTGCTTTGTTTACTTCTCCTTGTCACTCGTGCTTTGTTTACTTCTCCGTGTCACTTATTGCTTTCTTGAATATCCACTTCCGCGTGTTTGCTTACACAGAGAAGGAGCAGGGACATGGTACACACATACAAATGCTTTTCCATTATAAAGATTTTATTAATTTCAGACGTTATACCGGAAACAGTTACTGCTTTTGGTTTGGGTGAGTCATCACGTGATGGATATTACCTATAAATCTATAATTAGCTCTCTGTGGAAACCCAAATTAGCTGTTCTTATAAACTAAAATGAAAACAACAAAAACGTGATCAGGACGTGATCAGGGACGTCACACATTACTAATGGTTACTATTATTACAGTTTATTTTGGATCTAAGAAGAAATGCCCCCACCCCCACCACCACCACAATCCTCCGCATTTTGTCATTACAGGGACAAACAATTTTATTGATAAACTGAAACCGATTACATTAATTGTATTTGTTGTATATTTGGTGGGTTTTAGAGTCGATTACATCAAGACAACAGTACATGTTTGTTTTCATCCGGAAAACAACTCTATTGCACTGAGGATGATATACACATAGACGTGACACCTGTTTCCATTATACAATCATACAATCGGTAACTGACTGTTCTGATTGGGGTTTGATCACAGTGACAACGTTAATCAATAACACGACAGTATATTTTATTTCCCCTCTTAATTCAATAAACACAAGTTTAGGTCAAGGTGTGCGTGTTGATAAGGTATGTGAATAGATGTGAATAAAGAAACTACCAGTGGATGATAGCACATGCATATTACGTACAACAATAATTTTCTCATAACTCGTTGTAGGCTACTATAATAATATATTTAACCAACTTGACAAATATTAGTTTTACTGGAAAATTTGCACATGATTTTGAAAGTCAGAAACGGTGTTGTGACTAACATTTTGAAGTTGCTTGTTATCAAAAATTGTTACACAATAAGGTATTGATATGTATATGTTAATTTCTTCAACTTATTGTAGGATTAGTATTGGGAAGTAAGACAATGTAGCTAAGTCATGGTTCTGTAGTAGATCAGTTAAATAGGCAAATTATTACTGGTGATAGGCGAGGAGTGCAGTAGCTCAGGGTTTGTAGAGCATGTGGTGTAAATTAAACTATCGGACGGAACGGGCGTAGCTTCCTTGATAATTAAATTTATGCAATTGCCCTTCCGGAGAGTGACCACTAGTTGACTATTATTTAACATATAAATAAACATGACTATTACCAACAGTTATGTGTTATTATGTTACAAAAATACAGTCTATCTACCTATGCACCTTTTGGAAAGTTTCAAAATGTATTGGAATTCCGCGAAATCTAATTATAGCATTTATGGTAAACCATGTTTGTCGATATTCCATTCTTCGGTTTGTGAGGATGGGCTTCATCATTCTGTGCCTTTGTGTCATATTTTGCGTTCGTATTTGTTTTATTATTCGTTTACTGTTTTTGATCGTGTTGGAAAAGGAATTATCAGCAGCATTTTTATGACGTCACCATACTTAAAACCTCTTCCAGAGTTGTCGTTCCTTAGCTGCAAATCTGATTACACAAGAAAATTTTTGTAGAATGTGTATACAATTACGTATTTTTTCCTTCTTTTTTTTTTAGATATTTCTTTTGACAGATAATAATATGAGTGTGATATAACAAACCAAACTCTGCTGTTGTTGATATGTTAAATTGTATTGTTTTACACAAATAGATCACGAAATCTCAAGAGTCTTCGGTGTGGACTAGACGCTACGTAGCCGGAAGCACAATGATCTGCAATCCAATTACATGTCCAGAAGGGTTTCGTAAGTATTATTCTATGTTAGTGGTGGACTTATTACGATTTTCACAGAGGATTTCTGTATTTGGTTAGAAATAGAATAACTGTCATACATTTACCTCATTTCCATACTATTTGGGATTTTCAGTTTCATTACAAAGTCATTCCAAATATACTGTTTGTTGATAAATATAGTATCACGGGATTTTCAGCATAAATTAGAGTTATCTCCCTTTAACCATAATCTTCACAATTTTAACGTTGTTCTCGTGATTTACAAATAACATGGGGTAATCATCAACATATCACATTAATTATAGTTTAATAAGACGAGCTAGTTGTGGCGTAAGGGTTTAAATACCCACAATATGTTCAGCTGCGCTCATACCGATTGACGAAATTCTTGTCTATTCTTGTCTGAAGAAATCCTTACTCAAAACAAGTTTACAACAGTAAGGCGTGTTGATATCCATAAGATAAGGGAACTGTTCCAGAAGAGCTTTAAGTGACCTGTGACTGGTCTGTTTCCAACAGAATTATCCTTCTGTAAAAAGAACTACACCAACGATTACTGTCACAGATGTCATCATGGCAGTATCCAGCCCAAAGCTGTCGACTCGAGAAATGTTATTTTCGCCCGTGAGATCCCAAAGTGTACTGTAGTGGAGACATTCTGTCCGCCAGGTATTTATCCAATGGTGTCGAATATTGTTACATCAATACCGAACGACAAACAAGTTCTTATTGAATCACTATATAAAATACCAAAAACAGAACATGTAATCAATATGCATTATCAAGCATTACCGCTTCATCATCATCATCATCATCATCCTCATCATCGATGTCATCGTCGTCGTCGTCCATGGGACAATTATCATTTACATAATTATTATGGGAAAGAGTTGAACTTCTGAGAGAATTGTACAAGTTTCATGTTAATAAGCTGTACTCGTTTAACCCCTATTCTGTTCTATATTCTTTGATTTAAGGTGTTAAGCTCCCGTGTGTCTTCAGTTCTTTCCAAAATTTCCAAATAAAAATATGGTCGTGTTATTACTGATCTGTTTGTCTATGTTATGTGTTCTCACTTCTTATAATGTTGTTTCACAGAGGCGTCCCTGGCTTTCAGTGAGGAGGGAAAGTCAGTGTGTCAGTGTGACACGTCACGTGGATATGCGGGAGACGATTTTCAAATATGTACCAAATGTTCAAAATGTCCTCCCGGAATGGAGTTAAAAATAGGTAAATTCATGAAGCTGATAAATTCCTGGTATAAAAAAGTTATTGCTGATATATAACATAACTGTCTTTAAGTGATCATAGATATTAACAGGACGCAAAGTAATATAAACATGATAATATCAACAGGTTATATAAGATGAGGGGTGGGGTGGGGCTTATTGATATACACATCAACGTGTTTTTAAAATACTGAATATTAAAAAAATTATGGAATTCTAGGATAAAAATGCATCTACCCAATTTGTCATCATTGACGAACTATTGAACAACGAAACAGCTGTACGATACAGTATATATAATTTATCGGTTTGTCTGTTTCTAATTCTACATCTAAATATTGATAAGTAATTGATTTTGTGTTTGAATTAAGATTCCGTTAAAATATCAGTTTGATTTAAACATGTTTGATGCACATAAGTTGCAATAGGATTGGGCACAAGGTTTACAACTTATATAAAGCCCTTTCCAAACATTATATGTAATACACACACATTACATATACAAGGTAGCGAAACAGGTGATACACTGCCCACATACCTAAGCTCACAACTTGTCAATGTCTATCACTTCCCGTGCGTTGTTTACTTCTTGTCACTCGTTGGTCTTTATTGTTGTTATGGTATGTAAACAAGAGCTTTGAATTGTAACACGTAAACCGCATGTTATAAACAACAGCTAAAAATACCAATATGTCAACACCATCATAATCCAAACTCAAATTCCTTAAAACTGGGACAAAATAGAAACAACGACAAAAATTACACGGAGACTCATGAAAAGTACAGGGAGAATAAGACTGGGTGTTCCGGAACACCCACTATGTAAATCTGAGTGAATCCAAGGTAATGTAAGGATCTCAAATGAGAGCGAGGCATACAACAACAGAACCAAACTATCGAGTATCAAACACGTCTGTTGAATAACTAAGTATGGTAGCTTTAATCAACTAAGTATGGTAGCTTTAATCAAGTACTGTTCCGTCGTTCAATCCAGAAAAAAATGAAATATAACTGACACTTTTTAACATACATCTTTAATGATATACGTTTTTATCTTTTGTAGCCGGAAGTTGCGACCATTGTCCGCCAGGTACATTCAAACCACTTGAAGGATATGGACCGTGCAAACCATTTACAGAGTGATTGTCATTTTTTAAATCTTCCATTCCATATGATAAACGCGGAGTCATTTTCATGTTTTCCTTTATTTCTAAAATGAAAAATCAAAGAAGTATTTTTGCGGTTGTACCTATATTTTCACTATTGATTTCAATTTCTTTATGTACATTCATAGTTTTATTCTTAATTATATAGTTGTGAAATGGAAAACAAGGAAATTCGTACACCTGGGAATACAACGACAGATGTTCAGTGCGGAGAACTACTCAGTACTACGCCAGCTGTAAGTACGACAACCCAGTTATCGACGTCATCACATCTCAGGAATGAAGATTTAGACGATATTTCTAGAGGTGAAAATGGTAAAATTCCTTTTTTGACTCATTGCTACAATTTTATATTGAAGACAGAACTTGAGAATTTGTATTGATGACGAGCGATATTTCGATTATGTAGTTTTTATTACTTCTTTCTCGTCCAAATTGGCGAAACTATGACATATTTATAGTCAAATCTTCCAGGTTTGACACAAAATTGGGTCTGAACTCTGCCTTAATGTCTGATTTATCTTCATTTTGAATGAATATCTATATTCTAAACCAGTAAGATATATTCTTATTTCATGATATTTAATCGCATTGAATACCTAATATAATGTTGTAATGGCTTTCCTTTTTAGGTCATTTGACCGAAGGGTCTGATGACCTTTTGCGATCGCCTTTTGTCCGGCGTCGTCCGTCGTCCGTCATAAACATTTTCAACTTCTTCTCAAGTTCTATATGTCTCATTGAGCTGAAACTTACCTGAAATGATCGTGACATGATCCTGACCAAACTTTGTTAATTTCGGGTTGGTCTGAAATCCAACATGGCCGCCATGGTCGCCATCTTGAAAACACATTTTCGACTTCTTCTCAAGTTCAAAATTTGAAATCTTGTATTTTATGTCAGATGACCGTTAAGGACCATGAGCCACTTTTTTGTTTTAACTCATAATCTTTCAACCAATTACATCACCCAGCCTGTTCTCACGAAAAAATAGATAATCTACTTGTATGTTAGAGGAAGTGCGTGTTTCGTTAGGTACGATATAATAATACAAAGAAGATAAGTAATAGAGAAAAAGAATAAACGTTTAAAAGGTTATTATAGGTATAATAACGATAGCATGTAGATCATTTTAAAGCGTGTCCTCTTCCTGTTGTAAGGTGAATTAGATTATCATATGATAGACGCATATTTCAATTCTGCAGAAAAAAACATACAAACACAGTCAAAGGAGGCGCATGACGATAACAGTTGCAGGTACGTAATCAGCATTCTATTTCACCATGACGTTTACAACAATCCCTTAAGGTACCTCATCAACATCCTGTCTTATCATGACGTTTACAACAATCCCTTAAAGTACCTCATCAACATCCTGTCTTATCATGACGTTTACAACAATCCCCGAGGTACCTCATCAACATCCTGTCTTATCATGACGTTTACAACAATACCTTAACGTACCTCATCAACATCCTGTCTTACCATGACGTTTACAACAATCCCCGAGGTACCTCATCAACATCCCGTCTTATCATGACGTTTACAACAATCCCTTAAGGTACCTCATCAACATTCCGTCTTATCATGACGTTTACAACAATCCCTTAAGGTACCTCATCAACATCCCGTCTTATCATGACGTTTACAACAATCCCTTAAGGTACCTCATCAACATCCCGTCTTATCATGACGTTTACAACAATCCCTTAAGGTACCTCATCAACATCCTGCCTTATCATGACGTTTACAACAATCCTGTCTTATCATGACGTTTACAACAATCCCTTAAGGTACCTCATCAACATCCCGTCTTATCATGACGTTTACAACAATCCCCGAGGTACTTCATTAACATCCTGTATAATGACGTTTAGTGCAGGGTATTTTCGTACATGTGGTTATGGCGCATGTCTTACATATATCAATTAATCAAAATCAAGATTGAGAATGTCCACCAAAATATTATATGGCCTAAATTTGTTTCGTAAATGTCCGACATAATCGAAACGTATTCGCTATAGCTAATCGCCGCTAATTAAGGCAAGGCTTATAAGCAACGATTGTAATATTGTATAATATAATTCTATTTTGCTTAAAATAATCGCCACGAATTGGTTCTGATGCAGGAATCACGTTTTTCTTCCTGTGAAAATTGTGACGACGTCAATGCCTTTATCTTGTTGTTTTATGTATCTAATTCGAGACATCTACAAAGTCTTGATCCTGGCATTCCTATGGTATATATTTCTCATTTGACTTATTTCACAGGGATATGCTGCTGGTATCGATTACACAAACTATCGTACTGTTTATGACACTCGTCATCGTTACGATTTTCCTTTTCAAAACCAAGGCATCACTCGGTATGTACATTACCTTCAACAAACAATCATTGCAAATATCAAGACATAAGAAGACAACTGGTCGCCATGCATAAATTTGTACATTTGATTGTTATAACAAGACGTTATGGCATTAATGATATGAAAAATTATTTTTTTGCAGCTGCACTCTTGAGGCGAGAAAAAGAGTCTTACGGAGATGAAAGGCGTCACTTAGGTAGAGTATTTATTATCGTTTATATAAAAAAAAATCAGGTGTTGACAAATGATACATTTAAATTGACCAGCTATAGTTACAAGGATCATAAGAAGCAGCAATAATATAGATGTATAGAAATACATAAGGACCTATCTTACATTGTCGGGTCGGGTGGCGCAGTGTTAACGCACTCGCCTTTCACCTAGCCGACCGGGGTTCGATTCCCGGAACGGACGTGAAAAGGTAAGGGGTCACCTGTCCGACCGCGTGGGTTTTCCCCGGGTACTCCGGTTTCCTCCCACAATAAGGCCCCTCGCGCGCTTACATCCGGGCCAACAAGAGTGATTAGTATAAGTTTAAATAACTTGTTTCGCAATTGTTGTAAAACAAATAAAGTTATCTTACATTGGCGCCCACGTAGGGATTCGGGAATAATACTTCGCCATGCCCCATGAGCATCGCTGATGCTACTGGAAAACTCGAGGTTGAGTTATTTCCTGGAGTGGAAGTTTGTAACCCTGGTAAATATTATCAGTAATATACAGCTCGGTTAGAGAGAACTTCTCCTAAGCTCGATCGGTTGAGCTCAAGACTAGTAAACCAAAGATCCGCTGTTACACTTGCATGTGATATGCATGCATGAAGCGTACCGCTTGATTGCATTCCTGTTGATATTAATTTAACTCACAAATGTCACTAGCGATCCAGTTCCTGTGCATTATGATAGTTTAGATTTCTATAGACTGTCCTTTATACAATAAAATAGATAGATATTTTTTATTTACATCATCTGTAATAATGAATATAATCACATTTCCTTTGTTCCCAACTATAGTTCGTGAAGAATGCGATACAGGAAATAACAGCTACAGCAATAAGCTCGATTAGTATAATTTTTCACACAATATAGAAAATCATTTTCCCGTGTCTCTGACGGTTGTCACTTCGTAAAGCGACCGTAGTTTTGTAATTATAAAAAATGTGGTGGCGTCGTCAATGACTCCAAAATGACACCACCTACTACTTCCATTATAATATGGCGGTTCGATCCGCCGCTGTTCCTATGACATTATAAAACTATTTGATTCTGAAATCATTAAATTATGAGGTTACAAAATGTTAATATTAGGATTGTTATTAATTATGCTACATGCTTCGAATATTGTTTGCACTGGAGTAACTACATATGGCTTGCTAACGCGCACCAAGTAAAATATATGGTTACTCCAATGTAAATACACTTTGTTGCAATGTTATCAAATGTTTTTATTCGATGGTTAGCAGAATCAATATTTATAAATCTGGATAGGCTTAAGATAGTCCTGCTAACTGCTTACTAATTCGGTATGTTTTTTTTTTTTACAGAAAGGGAATTAGAGTTCACTTCACTTCACCAACCAGGTAAACCCGACAGATAGATATTACAAAACTCAAATTATTCTAATAAAGGATCACGTATGACTTTCTATTTCTTGCGTTGTAAAATAAAAAAAAAGTGGTAAGTTTAATTAATCTCATTAAAAAAGGAAACGATTGAAAATTTCTGTAATTCTGCACTTTATCATGTTATCCGTAATCTAATTTACTATCATATGATCGCTTCATTTGAATGATGTCATAATGCATATGTGGTCATGAAATTATTAAGGCACAATTGCAACTAAGGAGGCCTTCGGTCTATTATAGTTACACATGTGTTATTACACGTGTGGTTGTCACAAAATGTATTTATTGTGTGATATTCTTGTACACTTATTACATGGTAGTTAAATGTGATACAATTGTATATTAACTATTCTTTACAAGTCGGTTTAGAATCCTCCGTAATAATTTTCCTGGTAAATTTTTAATTTAAATCCCAAAAACTGGTATTATCTTGAACCGTGAATGCTACATGTAATGATACCTATCTACATCAAGACATTAGATGTCTGTGTGAACTTGTCAATTTTATATAGTTTAAATGGCGTTTTTTTTTCAGAAACCATGGAGACGATATATCCAAAGTTAAACAGCATACCGTGTACACCGACTGCGCCTGGACCATCAATCTTTGACGTATAACAAAGAGTAACAAAAAAGTAAATACCAACATACGACATCATAAAAAAATGCAGGCTGGTGAAAATTATGGTCTAACGGTCGTCCTTTCATTGAGAAATATTATATTTCTTTTGGCGATAAGCTAGACGTGATTGATGCTGGCATTACACCATACCAATCAGGTGTAACATTACACCAGTACATGTGGTGTAGCAGCACAACTGCATGAGTGTAGTTTGAATGTAAACTTACATGGATGTCTATGATTTAACAAAACACCACAGTTGCGATGGTGCTTTAGTGTTACACCAATGCATTTAAGGAAAGTTTATGCCAATAATGAGTGTAAACTCAACTGCCACCAGCAAAAACAGTAATGATTTAATATCACTACAGTAATGTAGATGGTATACATCATCATGGGAGAAAAAATCAAACAGAAAATTTGTTATTTCCAAGGTTGATAATGACAGAAGCCCCGTAATTAGTCGGGAGTCGGGTAGTCTGAGGCTCGACATGGATACGCTAAATTGGTGTCAACGATATATAATTATATATTATTAAACATAACAAAGGGTAAGTACCCATTGTGATGCTAAGTATGATGGGATCGCAGTCGTTAGCGACACTGTGGACACTAGGCTTGATCGGACCATCCTGTCGATTGAAGATTGGATCCGTAT